GGAGGAAATCTATAAATCTCTCCAAGTAGATCACAAGTACAATTATGTACAAAGTGCCATGAAGATTCAAATAGGAAAAGATAACATCCTATTGTGGAAGATCTAGACAGGCTTTACAAATAGGGTGGAAGGGGACCTTCCAGAAGAGTGGCATATGGGAGTGGGAAGAAGGAATTCTAGGCCGGAAGGCCAGGGAAAGGTCTTGGGGCCAGGAGAGATACTCTTTGCCTCTTTGCCTTCCTCCTACCTCAACATGAGATTATGGCTGGGAACATAAAGCCAAATTCCATCCCTCTTACTTCACCAGCCCCTTTCCAGAGACACCCATGTCTCCCCGTCATGAGTATCTCATTTTTAAAAGGATTATTCTAATTTGAAAAAATATATATAGAAATACACACAAAAAAGGACGCCAATGTTTCTTCTTCCCCAGCTCAATAAATCTAGACTAGTACACATACATATGTATCACTTGCTTAATATCCTGATATCTTTTAAGGATGGTATGGAAGTGAGAGTTAACAGAGGTGCTGTTTCTTTGAGATGCCCACAGCAATGCTTATCTTATGGAAATTCTCACAAACCTTATAAGCAGGAAGATAACTGGGAAATTTCTGTTCTCCAGTTTTAGAAGACTGTACCCGCTCTGTGTAGATCCAAATGGTCAAATGTACAAGCGCTAAACACAGTTGGCTCTCCAAATTTAAATTTTAATTAATCACATGTCAATTGAAAATCTAGTTTTTCAGTAACAATAGCCACATTTCAAGTGTTCAGTAGCCCCATGTGGCTAGTACTACTGTACTGGACACCAGAGATACAGAACATTTCTATCCTCAAAAAGTTCTGAGACAGAGCTCATAGTTAATAAAACTAGAATTTATACTTTACCGAACTGAGGAATGGATGTCAGTCACACAGACTAATAAAGAATAAAAATGAAAGGGCCTCCAAATCTGAAAGGCTCCCTCTGTACTAAGATGGATCACATATAGTTGCTACTTGTTATTCTGAACCCCAAATGCATCCAGCTATCTGAAAAGGGACACCAGAGAACAGATGGATTCACCACCTTCCAGAGACTATTTGGCAGCTATTTCTTGCTTTTAATTCATTCATGGCTAGTGAAGTTTTATGTATCTTTTTTGCGTAGGTAACAAGCCATAGTCTTGTGCTATACCTTAGGTTAAGATCTACAATTCCGGGACAGTATTCAATTGAATGCAACCAAATTATATGGATGTGCTAAAATTTACTTAACCATAAATCTACTGAGAGATGTTTAAGTAGTTTCGAGTGTTTTGCTTTCATAAATACCACTGCAATGAATGCTCATGTACAGAAATCTTTTATACATTCAGGCTATAATTCTGTGGGACAGAATGCTACAAGAGATGTTTGCTGAGTCATAAGGCTGTGAACATCTGTAATTTTAATGGGTACTGCGAATTACCTTTCTGAGGAGGTACACCGATGTATTCAGCCTCTAATAGTACAGGAAAGGCCCTGTAATCCATAATCTTCCCATCCCTAGATATTATCTGTTGTATTAATTTTTGCCAATATGATGGTTTTTACTTGCTTTTGCTCCATCATTAGTGAAACCAAGGATCTATTTACATGTTAATTGGGTATTTGAAGACCCATAAGTTGTCCTTTCATGGCTTTTTAATATGCTTTGCTATTTTATTAATATTTATAGGCTAGTTTGTCTTTTGCTGATTGATTGTAGAAAGTATAGGTTTACTGGAATTACTTTTCATTTTATGTGCAACAAATGTCTGTCTCCCTCAAACCACCTCCCCACCTGCCCTATTTCCCTCATCATCTCTGCTTGTAACTTGATTTAAGATTTCTTTTGTCACTCATAGGTTCTTGTATAATCGAGCCCGTCAATCTCTTCCTTTAAGCCTTCTAGGTTTCAGGTCTTTCCTAAGATGTTTTTTCCTCACTCTAAGATTATAAACATACTTTTCCCTAATTTAAAAAAATCTTTGATAATTTTAAACTGTAATGTGTATGGAATTTATTTTCATATATGTTGAGAAATAAGTTCCAACTTAACTTTTTATAAACAGACAATCCATTGTTCAGTATCACTTACTGGAAATACCTTCTTTTCTAAATGACTTGAAATGCCATACTTATCATGTATCAATATCTTTAAAACAATGTAGTCTATTCTGGATTCTCAATTTGTTTTATTTGGCAATTTACCTATACTCTTCTTGCTTCTAGATTATAAAAACAGCATGGACTTGAGAAAATTCAGGGTCCCAATTCTAATAAAATGTCCTTACTTTGATCAGTCAAGGCCAGAGTTAATAACTGGGCAAACATTTACTCAGGACTTGCCATGTGTTTTGCAATCAATTTCTGTTACCAAGTTGCATACACCTTGCTCAGCAGTGGCACTTTATTTGCACATGGCAGGACACTAAATATCTGCTGAGTTCGCTAATACACAATAGTGCATTCAGTTTACTTTGAATATGTAATCTGAAAGTCACAGTCTGATAGATGCCAAGATTTATCTCATTAACAATAAATCCTAGGAAGGCTAAATGATAGCTTGTATTACTAAAGTAACATAACAACTTCACTAAGGCCACTTTAATAGCACATCTCTAAAAAATAAGGTTCCAGGGCATTGGACAGCCCCCTTGGGGTTCTGGGAACTCCCTTGTCCACTCTTCATGACCACTGTTACTCGCTCCTGAATCTCCCACCAGAGAAAGACCTTCAGATCTTCCCACCACACTGCCATATACCTTGCCCTTCCTCCAATGAGAACAGATGCTCTTGGTTAGGACAAACCTCCCAGTTTACCTGAGAACTCCTTTATCATCCCTCTTTCCTGTGCTACTCCTCTCTTCAAGATCAGGTCAAAAACTGAAAACATCTTCATTTTAAAAATAAGAAAAAAAATTTCCTACTAGTCCATATTCCTATTCCTCTCCAATTACCACATTTCCCTTTCCCCTCTATAGGAAAACTCACTAGCTATGGTTTTTTTCCCTCTCTACTTTTCATAGATTGAGCCTACCGTGGTAAAGTTTCACTACCTATCACTCATTTCTCTGAGTTTGTTGGGATTGAGGTCCCCCAAACTTCCATGTTGGCAAAAAACAACAGAGCCCTAGCAGCAGCATCTACCACAGCTGAGTACTTCTCCCTTTCTGTACTAGGCCTCAAGGACAGACAGTTCTTAAGGTTTCTTTATAGCTCACTGGTTCCTCCTTCTCAGTCTCCTTGGATGAGTCCCCTCCATTCTCTGATTTGTACAGACAGTAGTACACCGATATGAAGAACCCCACAGACCAGTCTTTCAAACTCTTTTCTCGTCTAACTGCATTTACTCCCTAGGTAATCTCACCTAGTTCATGGCTTTAAATTCTCAAAGACTCCTAAATTTTTATCTCTGTACCTAACCTCAGCGATGAACTCACTCATAAGCGTTAACTACTCATTCATCATCTGCACTTGGATGTCTCACCAGTATGTATATCCAAAATCAACAAAATAAAACAAAAACCCTGCCTGTTTTATACTTTCTACAGCATTCACCCATTCAATTACCAGACTAGCTAAACATCCATTAGTTCTTTCCTCAATTACCCTAAAAACCTTAGTTAGTCTCTAATTGTATTATGCCACAATCTCTCTCCCTAAATTCTACTCCCCTCAAGTAGGTAGTTCACCTGGTTTTTTAAAATTATACTTGATCTTAGCCAAAAGGCCAAGAAGCAATGGTTTTTTAAAATTATAAATGAAAGGAATCTGGGGAATTATTTAAACTTCTCCCTACTTCTTATTTATCAATCTTCTATTTTGCTTCTAGTTTCTCATATAAAAGGAACCATGTGATATTTAAGCTTGTGTGTCTGATTCATTTCACTTAACATCATGTTCTAAAGTTGCATCCATTTACCTATGAGTTTCTCAAGTTTATGTTTCTTTATGCAGAGTAGTACTCCATTGTGTTTAAATACCATATTTTTCCTATCCATTCATTTGTTGATGGACATGCATGCTGTTTCTAGCTATTATGAATCCTGATCTAGTTATTATGAATCCTGCTGCTATACTAATTTCTTAGTTTGTTGAAAAGAGTTTTGTGCTATTAATCTGTTTCTTCTTTGTTAAGAGTGAATATTTTTTGTCTATGTCTCGTACTCTGAATAACTACTTTGAAGATAATGATAGTGTATTAACTAATGTTATTCTCTTATTACTTGGTTATGAAATTTTGATTTTTCATAAAAAGAAATTATAAATGAGTGCTGGGATGCAGCTCAGTAGTAGGGTACTTGCTTAGCATGCATGAGGTCTTGGGTTCAATCCCCAGTACTGGAAAAAATGTGAAACTCTCCTCAAAATTTTCTAGTGGCTTCCAATGCATTAGCATAAAGTCTAAAATCCTTTCATAATCTAAAATGTTGCAAGCTGAGTCCTGCCTAACTGCTTAACCTCATCTCTTACTACTACCATATTACTCATTCAGCAAAACAAGTTATCGTATAAATAAACAAAATGTCTCCTTGGTATGCTTCATATACACATCAAGTAATTTCTACCTCGAGAAGAAGAAAAAACTTTGGATGTATTGTTTTTGGATCTTTGTTTTTAGTCCTCCTTCTGCCTTAATTATATATACAGGTATCAGCAAAACATTAACCTTATTTCATTTGTCTCTGCTCAAATGTTCTTTTTATCCAGCTTTATTTTTCTTCATATAGTACTACTTTATAGTACTTACATTCTATTACAGATTTTTATCAAACATCTTAACTAGGATGTAAGTTCAATGAGAGCATGGATTTTTATTCACTTTTTTATGCTCAGAATCTAAAACAATCCAAAAAATAGTTGGTGTTCAGTGAACGTTTATAGAGGAAGTGAATAAACAAATGTGCATGTATAAGGTTTGACTATGGATTTGGCTTACCAATCTTAGTATATAATCCAAAAGGGCAAAACTGTTTTTAAACATTACTTACTTTTCGTTGTTTTACAGAGTCCAATTTTATGAGCCAATATGAAGCCACTTTTGTTTTATGATGTTTCCAGTTATCAATGATCTGTTTGGAGGGAGAAACATTAAGAAGTTTAATCTAGAATAGTCATCAAAAGTAATAAATAAAGGGCTGGGGATTTAGCTCAGTGGTTCTGCCGCCTGCCTCGCAAGTGCAAGGACCTGAGTTCAATCCTAAAATTAAAAAAAAGGCAAGCCGCTTAAAACCATTTTAAGTAGCTAATTTGTGTAATGAAAGCATTATAACAATCCTCATAAGAAAGAATGTGAGCAGCTCACTGCAGACAGGGAGGTCTGAGCACACCCTACTGAGTTCGCATGTCGCGGGGAACATGCTGAATCAGCCCACACCCAGGCAACAATCTACTGGACATTCCCCCCCACCCATACAGCCACCTGGTTCCACACAAGAAAGATGCAGAAGATACCGGACCACCAGACCACGGTACTGAGTCCTGCCACTCCTGGCCCAGAGGTAGGGACTTCTGAGCCACCGTCACACTGCTCCTGGTCCAGAGGAAGGGGCTTCCTGGCCACCATCCCTACCACTGCTCTTGGCCCCTGTCCCACCTCTCCCAGCTCAGAGGAGGTAATCCGTGCAGGCACCAACAGCCCCTCCCCACCCAGTCGAAATGAGAAAACATGTAAATAAGTCTCAAAACCAGACTTCCAGATCACCTACAGCAACCCCAA